TATATATATATATATATATGTATATCTGTCTATCTGTCAATCATACCATAGAATTATATAGAGAGTGAAGGTGAAAATAAGGAAGTTTGAAAAGTCAGATCTATAATATGCCACCTGACTTTAGTAATAGAATAAGATTAAAACAGTATGACTTAAAAAAAAACCAAAAAAAAAAACCAGTATGACTTTCTTTTCACATTTTCCATAATCACATCTCTCTGTCACTGTTTATCTGTCTTTAAATGACCAGTTAGGCTCACATATTATGTACATGTCTGTTCATTTTTGTCTTCTGTGGAGATATTAAGGTTAAATGTTGATTCTGCTGTGACAAAGTTCTATCATGGAACAGGAGAGTGTTTAAAAATGTATGTTTTCCAAAATAGAATATTTTATTAATCGCATTTGAACTTGACATACAGTAAGACTGGTTATCTAAGACCACAGAACTAAAGAGGTAGCAACCAATGAAGGAGATAGTTGAGAAAGAATTTGGAAGGCTGTGAGTGGAAAGAAGTTAGTAAAATCAGGGATAGAAGGACATGATGGAGTGAATTTGTAAAGGAAGGTGATCTGTAAGAATACCATACAGGCAGTGGTGTTGGGGTCCCACTTGTGTGGCCTGTTAGCTCAGCCCAAGTAGAATAATCTTACAAAGCAGTGACCTAACATTATGAAGCAAGAAGAGTCTTTTGAGGAAGATGGCTTGGGAAACTGAATGAAGGTGGAGAGAGTACATTAGCAACATTTTAAAATAATGATATAGTGCAGAATGTCCAAGGACTCAAACAATGGAGGTTTCATTAAGTAGATGAAATAACTTGGGAAACGACATTTCCAAGATCTGTCTTAACATCCTGTGATTACAGCCGGTCTTATACCTGCTTACCTATGATCTCTTCTCATTGTAAGTGATGTTTATAGTGTGGCATTATAATTGATGCTTGTTTTGCAGCTGTGCAAGGTCTTGAACTTCATTCCAAATCATTATCAAGAGACTGAATTGTTAGGTTGTAGGTTTTATATAGACTGTACTGTACTGTATATAGGTTTAGTTGTTATTTGCAGTTTATAATCTCTTTTGTAGAAATCCCTCCCTGACACCAGGTGTGTCTGATTAGGTCCAAGAGACCACAGCATAAGCATAAATATTGTTACCACTTTATAAATGAGGAGTCTTAAAAGGGGTTAGTAACTTGCTCATGGTTCAGAATTAGTAGTGGGTGGCAGACCCAAGCCCCAACTCAGGCAGGGTGGCTCTGAGCTTGAGCTTTTAACAACACTACGCTCTATTGCCCAATGCTTTTTAAAAAAATGATTTCAGAGAGGAAGGGAGAGATGGAAACATCAATGATGAGAGGGAATCATTGATTGGCTGCTTCCTGCACACTCCCTACAGGGAATCAAGTGCACAACCTGGACATGTGCCCTTGGTGGGAATCAAACCCTAGACTGGGGTGGGCAACCTTTTTGTGAGTGCGTGCCAAAACCAGCAAAATCTCTGACTCAAAATTCTTCTGCGTGCCAACCCTAATTTTTTTTGAGAACATGTTATGCCTATTTGATATCTCTTAAGGTGTACGTATGTGAAGAACCTTGAAGAAATAATAAAATTCATTTGAGCGACAAAAACACAGTATATGATGATGAAAAATACATTTATTTTTTAATGTATACATGTTATGTAAAATTATTTATTTATCTAAGATGCACCTACACTGAATTTATCTGAAAAATAAAAAAGTAGATATTAAGAAAAAATTTTAAATGGAAGATTATAAGAGAGGGTTTCGTGTGCCAGCAAAAGTTACTGGCGTGCCATGTTTGGCACGCGTGCCAGGGGTTGCCTACCCTTGCCCTAGCCCCTTCAGTCCACAGGCTGACGCTCTATCCACTGAGCCAAACCAGCTAGGGCTATTGCTCTGTGCTTTACTAAAGATCTAGTTTCCTTTTAGAGCAGTGGAAATACACTGTATGATATTATAATGATGGATATGTATCATTTTACATCTGTCCAAACCCATTGACTATACAGTGAACCCTAAAGTGAACCATGGTCTTTGGGTGATAGTGATATATCAATGTAGGTTCATCTGTGTTAACAACAACAGCAAAGTACCGTTCTTATAAGTAATATTAATAAACGGGGAGGCTATACATGTATGGGAGTAAGAGTCAATATGAGAAATCTCCGTACTGCCTTCTCAATTTTATTGTTAACCTAAAGCTATTCTAAAAAATAGTCTTTGAAAAGAAAAAAAATTAGCACCAGACCCAAACCTGGAAACTTAATCTATATTTTATTTAGTATCCCCAAATGTATAGCTGCCAATAAAGCCCAATCAGAGATTAAAAAAAAAACAAAAGAGCTGGTCTCCCCAAATAAAAGGTGTGTGTGCTATTAATGGTACAGAGGAGCTCTCTGCTCCTCCGAGCCCATGCCCCGCACATTAGCCTGAGAGCTTACATTAGGGGCGTGAAGCTGCGGAAAACACTGTGTGGGTAAGAGGCATCTATTCCCTGTGAGCTTCAAGTTGGACACTCCCATTATTTCCTGCCGAGGAGGATGGGTGCGAGCATACATAGCCTTTACATCCCAGCATGTGCTGGGTATTCATACAATTCATTCTTTTGCTCATGGATTTTGACAGTCCTTTTCTTGGGCCCGATTCCCTGTTTTTCATGTTCTCCTCACCTCACTTTGGCCTTTTTCTAGTTCTTGGCCTCTTTTGCTTCTGGCCGACCCCAGAAATCTTTATTTTGCCTAAGAGTAATGATTCTAGTGCTTCAGGTGACTTGTGCTTTTTCTGTTTAATTATTGGGCATCTCCCAAGCCTTAATGCTTGTCATTAAAGATAACCTTAGCCAAAACCGGTTTGGCTCAGTGGATAGAGAGTCAGCCTGCGGACTGAAAGGTCCCAGGTTCGATTCCGGTCAAGGGCATGTACCTGGGTTGTGGGCACATCCCCAGTGGGAGATGTGCAGGAGGTAGCTGATCGATGTTTCTCTCTCATTGATGTTTCTAACTCTCTATCTCTCTCCCTTCCTCTCTGTAAAAAATCAATAAAATATATTAAAAAAAAAAAAAGACAACCTTAAACCCATTCTGCTGAAAGCTTTGTTCACATACTAAACTGTTCCAGCATGCTCTTTGGGCAGGATGGCTCAGAAAAATGGTAGCTGAAAGGTTGACCCACAGCGGGCTGGCATTAGCAGGTTTATAAAGCAGTGGCTTTAAGAGGATGTTCTGTGTGTTTTTTTCAGTTGGCCTGCTGCTGTGGGACTGCTGGCTGCTCCCTCTGCTGTGGCTGTTGCCCCAAGATCCGACAGTCCCGGAGTACCCGCTTCATGTATGCCCTCTACTTCATTCTCGTCTCCGTCCTCTGCTGCATCATGATGTCACAAACCGTGGCCAATGAGATGAAAGAGCACGTAAGTCTGCCCTGTTTCAACTCTTCTCATTTCTGATGGTTGATGAGGGTGTGTGGGAAATATCCACTTTAGCGGATGGGCCCACCCACCCGGACCCACCCACCCCAGTGTGGTTTTGGGTAAACTCACTCTCTCCAAACCTTCAGGGAAGCCACTTTAATGCTTTCCTGATCTTTAGTTGTAGTGTGGAGGCAGACTGATGCTATTCATGGAGAGGATTGCATATTTTGTCTTAGCCTTGTTTATAGCGTTTCTGATTAGATGTACAGTTTTTTCTTGTTCAAAGGATGGCTGCCAGTATCTCAGGAAGTAGCTGATATAAAACATTTAATTTGGCCTGTAGGGGAAGTATGATAAAGCCTGTGATCATTCCACAGGTAATGAGGCAGCTAAAGGGCGATTTTTACTTTTCTGAATATGTTACTTGTAGCGTGGGTGTCTCTAGAGGTGAGGATGCAGTTCCAGCCATTTCTTGAGCAATGTATGTAGAGGTAGGCCTGGCATGTGATGCTGACAGAGACACATACAGGACTTTTTTTTCTGGAATTTCCCCATAGTAGGCTATTAATCAGCCAGATGATGGGGGCAGGGATGTGTTGTGGTTTTTGAGGGAGTCCAATAAATAACACAGTCTTGCCCAGCCGGTGTGGCTCAGTGGTTGAACATCGACCTGTGAACCAAGAGGTCACGGTTTGGATTCCTGGTCAGAGCACAAGCCCGGGTTGCAGGCTTAATCCTCAGTAGGGGACATGCAGGCGGCAGCTGATCAATGCTTCTCTCCTCATTGATATTTCTATCTCTCTCTCCCTCTCCTTTCCTCTCTGAAATCAATAAAAATATATTTTTAAAAAACCCAAAAAACTCCACACATACACAACACCATCTTTCCCCTCCCAGGTTCTGAACAAATCGACAAAAAGACTACGGTGTCAGCAGGTACATGCCAAACATCACCTTTCTCCCTCACAGACCTGATGTGAGACAATGTGGCTTGTTTCTGCAAGGAAGTGGGCATCCTACTACTGATCCGCAAAATGAGTCAGACTTCCTCGCTCGAGGAGTCCACCGGGCCAGGACAGGCTTCATCTGCAGGGGCACCGTTTGCTGGGAAGAGGAACAGTTAATGCTCCTTGGGGCAGCTCCCTTCTGAGGGGAAGGGAGAGGAAAGTGAGCTTTGCAAGGCCCCTTTGCCCTTACAGCTAAGTGCTCTGTGCTCTCGGAACGCCTCCCCTAATGGAGATGGCATCCCCAGGAGCACTCCGAGGAAGTGTTCCTTCCCCAACCTTATGCTGAAACTACAGACTATTTTAAATACACTCAAGTGCATCAAAACACCATTTTTTAAAAACTCACTTGATATATTCTTAACCATTTGTTAAAGTAGGCCCTTTGAAGCTTTCTGTTAGGTAATGCTTTTATAATTGTGGTTGTATGATCTGGAATATACCAGAACTACTATCCAAACTTGTGAGATTAAGACTCTCCTCTGATTGCTTCACACAGTGGATCTCTCTCTACTCAGTAAGGCACCACAGTGGGCGCCATGGGGCATTCAAACTTGTGAGAAACGAAGCTGATAATTCAGAAGACAAGGCATAATCTTCTGTGGCATAAAACAAGGTGGAAATGAATAAGGATGATATGAGAGGAGGCACAGAATGCTGTGGAAGTTTGGGGGCACTGAGACCAAGAACTAAGGCTGCCTTATTAGTTTGCACAGTTTTCACTTCATCTTGATGGTGTTTGTCTTGGATTGTCTTCCTCTTACCATGGTTTAATCTTCTATGTTTGTGACAAGAAGTTTAAGAGGAGGAATACCGACAGGGTAGATTTTATTTTTATACTAATCTGAGCATATGTTTATTGATTTTAGAGAGAGAGGAAGGGGCGGAGAGAGATGTGAGAGAAACATTGATTGATTGCCTCCTGTATGTACACCGACTGAGAATCGAACCTGAAACCTTTGGTGTACAGGACAGTGCTTCAACTAACTGAGCCTCCCGGCCAGGGCTTACAGGGTAGATTTTAATTCTTATTCTGAAGGTCCACTTAACCTTCCACATACTACCTTTGTTTTTTAGGTAACTTAATGTTCTACTTAAATTCAACAAGGATTGACTTGAGGACTCACTGTGGTATTTTGATAGAAACTCTCAGTGTGGACCAGATGTCTATGGGTACGATCTCTGCTCTTTGCTTTTAAGAAGTTTTCAGCCCTGGCTGCTGTGGCTCAGTTGGTGAGCATTGTCCTATGCACTGAAATGTCACCGGCTCAATTGCTGGTCAGGGCACATGCCCAGGTTGTGGGCTCGATCCCTGGTCAGGGTGCGTTTAGGAGGTAACTGATCTATGTTTCTCTCTCTCCCCCCATCTTTCTCTCTCTCTAAAAGTCAATAAAAACATATTTTAAAAAAAATAAAATAGCCCTAGCCAGTTTTGCTCAGTGGATAGAGCGTCAGCCTGCGGACTCAGGGGTCCCAGGTTCGATTCCGGTCAAGGGCATGTACCTTGGCTGCGGGGCACATACCCAGTGGGGAGTGTGCGGGAGGTAGCTGATCGATGTTTCTCTCTCATCAATGTTTCTAACTCTCTATCCCTCTCCCTTCCTCTCTGTAAAGAATCAATAAAATATATTTAAAAAAAATAAAATAGTATTTAATCTCTGTAGAATTAAACTTTGGATCCAAGAAACAAAATCTGAAACCATATAAAATATATGATATCTCTTAGTGGCAAACTCATCAGAAACGTTGTTACTGGAGGTAGCGATCACTTTGGAGCCACATGTATGTATATATGTATGTATGTATTTATTTATTTTTATTACTTTCAGAGAGGAAGGGAGGAGGAGAGAGAGATAGAAATATCAGTGATGAGAGAGAATCATTGATTGGCTGCCTCTTGCACGCTCCACACTGGGGATCGAGACCACAGCCTGGGCATGTGCCCTGTGACTGGGAATCGAACCGTGACCTCCTCGTTCATAAGGAGATGCTCAACCACTGAGCCATGCGAGCTGGGCTACAGGTACATATTTTAGGATGTGATTTTTATAATAATAATTTTAACAATTGAATTACCATCCGACTAACCTGCCCTGTGAAATAGTCTGGAGAAACTCCGGCCAGGATCTATGATTTCTGATGTGTGACGAACCTTTAGGAAAAAGAAAGGAGAGAGACAAGGTGTTCTGGTAAGTGTCAGCTAGGAAGAGGCTTGTATAAAAAGTGACTGTCCCTATCGCTGATAGTTCTTAGGTGAAACGGTGTGGCCAGGGTTACTTGGGATCTGGCATGGGGGTCTTGTGGTCGAACCCAATTCTGTTCCTCGAAGAGGGCAC